CAGATTTAGTTCCTGAATCAATTCTTTGTAGTTAAAGAGAAGAGGTCCTATAGTTTTATTGTATCAAAACTAACTATAGGTTGTAATGACTTGATGGGAAACATTTCTTGAACACGTTTATGAATTAAATAAGGTAGATATAAATCATTGTATACCTTGTTTGAAATCTATTACCACATAATATTTTTATTTGTACTTTAGTGAAATATTCATTTGAATTTGATTCCATTTTAATCAAAATTTGATAGATCTACAATTAACTTTTTAATATGAATATGTTTAAATTCAAAATTTAACATATAATTGACAAATTTTTAGGTTTTGTATCATTTTATTCAAATAATTATTTTATTATAAATTTTTAAATATTCATAGATCTATGAAAAGCAGAATCTAAATTTTTACAGATATTCTCAAAGTTAATCCATTTTTTTCTATTTTTACCTTTATCCCTATTTTCATTTTGTTTAACATTACAAATATTTATCTGAAATAGATATCTAATACAGATATGTTTATTTAGATTCAGCACTTTTGTTTTGTAAATCCTAGTTTTATCCAGAAGGTTAAAGAGTTTTTCTTTCAAAATGAAGTATTCTTCTCATTCCGTTAATGAATTAGTTAGTTGTTTGCCCTACATACTTAAGACTACAAGTTAATAGATAAACAGATCTCAAAGTAATAAGGGTTTTCCTCATTCTATTGAAATAAACCATTTTAAGAAACATTCATTTGCTGAAGTCAAAATTACTATTTTCGAAAACAGAACAAAAAAAATACAATATTTTGAAAAAACAAGTGAAAATTATCTAAACATTTGATTGTAACCTCTTTGTATACCACAATTCCATTGAAAGATTTAATTTCCATTATAAATTCATTAACAGAACAATGCTCTCATTCTTTCATCATACTGGAAGAAAGCAAATTTACCTCCAAAAATATAAAAGATACACAAGTTTTGTATATATAATAATATTTTTTTTTCAATAACCAGGTGTTTAAACAAGTAATAGGAGTTCCAGTGGGAGCTAACTATTCTACTTGTATAGCAAATTTATGTCTTTTATTTTTACGAGAACAGGTTTATTGAAAATTTCATAAATCAGGAAATTTTAACTTATACATATATAGATGATTTAATTGGTATAAATAATCCTGAGATAAATAATTTTCTCAACACTATTTATCAGGTAGAATTAGAAACTGAAAATACTTCAATTCTGAATGTAGAAACACATTATTTAGATATAGAAATTAAGATAATTGGTAATGACATCAATCTGAAGGTTTTTCATAAACGAAAATATTTTCTCAATACGTAAAACAGTTCTTGTGCAAAAAATTTTATCTAAAATTAATAAAATGAGACATTAATGAGACAAAACTTTAAAAACTCTACATGTTTTGGTGGAATTAATTGCACCATCTTGAGGAGAATAAACCATGAAGTACAGATGAAGTTTCTTATAAACCTACTGTATGCATATAATTAACATGTTTTACAGTGACACCATTTACAACAAAGATTTCCAAAAATGTACTTCCATGGCTCCTAGGCCTAAATCTCTACTTATATTCATTTTGTTTTTAACAATTTCTAACGATTCTCTTATAGTTAGTTAATCTTTTTCCATTGCCTGTTTAAGTATTTTTACATTATCCCAGTCAATAACATGTGTAGAATTCACCACATGTTACACCAAAGCTGATTCACCCATTTTTAATTTATCCACTGCATTTTGATTTTCAATATTTTTAACATATATTTTTTAAACTTTAGAAATAAATTATTATGCAAGTAAAAAAAATGTTGATGTCTCATTTAATTAATTCTATTAAAAAATTGTTTTTCAATATACAGCCTACCTTGTTTTAATAGTAATATGCCATACTCTTCTGCTATAAGTATTATAACTTCACAATTACTCAGATTTTGTCAAATTTGTAATACATTACCATATTTCATTATTAATGTTGAAATATTGATCCAAGAATTAGTATTTAATGGATTTTATAAAGAAATATTAAATAAGGTTATTAATATATTTTGTGATAAATATAAAAATGTATTAAATAAATATAAAGAAGTAAAAATTAAGCAGCATTTGCTTGAAGTTTGTGACAAGTATTTTTTGCTTTTATTAAAGTGATTTAAACAACTTGGTACTATTTTTATGTGGATGAACACCTTATTGCATATAAAGGCTCATGTAAAGTTTGAAAATTGGTATTTACAGTGGAATATACAACTAAACTTAATGGGTGGGGGTTAAGATTTACACTAGTTTAGATAACTTGAGTGGGCTTTTATACTAGTATAATTTGTCTACTGTACTACTAATTATCTTAATAATTTAGAACTTTACTACTATAGTAGGAGCTGGAATGCCAACATCAGCAGGTAAGTTTATTTCACTAACCCCCAGTGGTTGAACCTTATTTTCGTTTTTCTTTTCTTCTATTACTTTGGAGAGCAGTCACCTTTCCACAACTGTCCGTAGACAATGAAGAATGATATAGATGTGGAACATTGTAGACTTGAGTACCGACATCTTGCTCTTCTAACTTATATTTTGTTGATGATTTTGTTTGATTATTCTTTGACAAGTTTTTCTTCACTATGTGAGACTGGCAAACAATGGTTTAGACTGGTGGACAGTGTATCCCCACAGCAATGTGGGTCCAACTTCTGCAGTCACCTCCAAAACCCCGGGGCACATTTTATATCCCACATTATAATGTGTCGCCTGGAGTATTTTTGTTTGGACCTGTTTTGATAAAAGGCCCTGGAATCTAAAAATTCTCTCTATTTCACACAGATTGGAATTGACTATAAAGTATAGCATCTAGAAATAAAAAGATTTGAAGATATCAAAGTTCATATGGTAATGATTTTCTGTTATGATACATTCAAGAAGTTTCCAAAGTCACTTCAAAACAACAGCAGAGGTGCTTGGGGTACACATCTATAAATTCCCCAAAGTAAATAGCACTAGCTTCCTAGACCATTGCAGGAAAGGCCTGTCCATGCTAAATACACAATTGAATACTACTAATCTTTGCAACTAAAAATTCTAAGGAGAGAAACAAACACAAGTCAATCAATGCCAAAGTTAACGAAATTCTGAAAAAGCTCCAAAATGCTACTTACCTAGCAATGACCTGTTTGCTAAAGTTGCTTCCGGATGCCATTGCTGACTCATCATTAAAATTGCAGAAGACCAATCTACCCCCATATGAAGTGGAGCCTATACTAGAAATTATCAAGACTGACTTAAAGATAGTCATGTCGCGACTACACTAAAACCAGATGTTGATCATTCTTGTGCAGGGAATAGGGAAAGTGTCATGCTAACATATGACCAAATCACAAACAGGAACAAGGATAATATTTAAACAACAGTGCAACAAATGAGGGAATGCTGTTGTCCCAGGCATTATTAAATGTCCTAACAGCCATTTTGAGTCCTTCAAAGAACCAATATTTGGACACACAGTGAGTTGATCCAGCCAACTGGCAGAGTTGTGCAACTGATGTCAACAGGAATTTGTGAATGATATGTGCTCTGGCAGACCATTGTAACCATGAGTTGGGAAAGTGCTGTGTTTAAACTGAGCTGCATCAGGTGCGAGTAGAAAGATTTCCAACTTACTGTTATACATCTGTAACAGGACAGCAAGACAAGGGGCATATGGAAGAGTATACTTTAATATCCAAAGAAAGAGTTTATAAACCTCTGCATGCTCATTGAACTGATGATGTGTGAAGGTGTTAGCAATGTGTCATGTTTCAGCTACCTTACAGGAATGCTGGTAAACCATCATCTCATGATGAATCATGGAATAATGGAAAAACCTACTCATCATAAGAGCCAAACACCATGTGTTCAATGAAAAGTGGAGAAAGGAGCTCAATATGAATGCAATGTACTCTTACATGGAAGAAGCAAAAGCTGGAAGTCACCACTGCACCAACAAATCAACCACCAGATGCCAGATCACTTCCTAGTTAACCATAAAGAAAGTTGAAGAGTTTTACTCAATCTGATTCCAAGTCTGAATATCCAGACAGCTCACTGACTTCAGAAAGTAATAATGAAGGCTTTTCTGATTTTTACAATTGAAATGAACAGTCTGTGTTTGTACTAAACTGAACATGTATGCCACAATTTACTAACAACTTATTTAACACATGTATTATCAATAAAAGCAATAAAACCCTAAAAGGTTCCAAGTATTATGTTGTTATTTTTTATAAATTTTCATTGGAATAAATCATTATACTTTAAATATTAAGTTCAAGTTGACGGTTATACTAATATGAAAATAATACTATAACATTTAATCAAAGATACTAATAAAAATCATTAAGAATTTAATAATTAAATATATTTATTTAAAAGAGAACAACATCCAAAATTCTGCTTTATCACCTACCATTTAAATTTTAAAATCAATTGCTTAGGAGAGTACAAAGGTTCAATCAGCTGCTCTCCTGCTACTTTCAACACTGAATCATTTCAGGAAGCTTTGAGGGAGCCGTGAAATGTGGTCTTCACTTCATTGCTTACATCTCTGTAAAGCTAAACTTTCTTGCTACAAATTGGCAGTTTAGCTTAAGGATATGTATAGCATAAGTGAGAAATTCCACAGAAAGTTAAAAGGTCATATAGGAGTAACAAGAAATGTAGAAAGGGGCAGTTCAGAGCGAAGAAGTGTCATGTGATACAGAATGTGGAGACTGAGCATTTATTTAAATATTTCCTTCTAAAATTAAGAAATTAAAACTTATATTAAGACTTCGGCTATAAACTACATTTCCATGCCAAGTCTACTGACATAAATTAATAACAAAGTGGTTTGATTAAGTTTGTTGTTGACACATGCACTTTGACCCACCCATGCTGAGAGGATCAATCTGAGAACATTGTACTAAATTAATGCAATTATCCACGTTTCTTATAATTAATTAACCACTCTTATCTCACATACTTACATGAAATGTTGGCAGGATCAAATTATTATAAGCCATCAGGGGGAGGGACATGGTATACACTATCAGTATCATTTAGTTTAACTGTGATGATAGTGAAGAAAGACTCAGTAGAGACTGCTTCTGTAAATTGCAAAGCAAAAGAAAAAAGAAGCACTACCCACAAAAAAATCATGAAGTATTTGTTGCAATAGACTTTTAGAGCATATATATACTTTATTATAATCAGACTTACCTGTTTTGTTATTGTGTACACATAATGTTCACATAAATAATGGATTTTCATTATAACAAGGTTCATTAAAACACCATTACGATAGTAGCTTCAGAGACCCGAGTTTTAAAAGGCAAGAACTGTATTTACTAAATAAACAACAACAACAAAAAATACACAACAAAGTTTGTTATTTTCATGCTATGCATTAAAATTGGAGTGATTCCATGCTTTTCAAGACATCAAAACAAGTACGTCAAATTCCACACTTTCCAAAAATGTTACTTTGTTACTCGACGTCTCACCTTTATTTTAACCCAGTCTGATCCTTTTTCACTTAGTCCATATGCAAGTAGTTCCCCATTTTCAGAGAAAGAGCTAAAACTTAAAGCAGTTGTTCCATCTTCAGAAAGCTTATTTGGATCCAGGAACACATGTGCTTCCCCATCCAAACTCTCCTGAACATACATGACACTAAAACACCACAGAAAAATGTCAAACATAGTTACTCATTACTTAAACAGAAGTTAAATGCAATACATTTGATACATGTGTTTAAGACATAAGCAATAAACTATGTACTAATTTCCTATATTCACACATTTGCTCGTTAATGTTTTTGTTTAAATGTTTTACTGTAGTTCCTATGTACATTATTTACTTAAATGAAGTTATTATAAAACATTCCATCATTAATTATTCATCACCATTACTTGTTCCAAAAGAAATAAGAAAAGCAATATTTTTTAAGTTTGATGAAGTATGTTATCATATTGGCATTAAAAAACTACGACCACAAGTATGCTCTGTAACTTTAATGTTTGTATTCTTTCGCGACAAAGTACTGCCTTATGTTTTACTTCTGTTCTATCTTTTGATGTCACTCATACTTCATGGGAACTCTTTAAATTGTTCTTATCTCCACACAAATCCAAACGCTAGCATAAGAGGAAATGTAAGGATAAAGCATCTTATCAGGAAATATGACCATAGAAATTCCAGAAACAATGCTGTGAGTAACTTTCCACGATACTTACCGAAAAGTGAAACCTCAGTCTGATTAAAAAGGCACATGATGAAGAAATTCAATTTTACAGCTACGAGGAAGCCTAAATTGGTGAATGAAAGTTCATCCACACTATTAGAAATATTGGAGAAGTTAATAATAATGAATTTCTTGAAAGTTACACAAGACTGTTTTCCTATTGAACGTTAAAAAATGAAAAAAAAAGCTCCCATGTGGGTTTCAAATAATTTCCTGTTTCTATGCTTTTCTCAAGCATTTCTACCAATGATGTGATGAACAGACTGGGATCTATAAGAGTATGACCAGTTAAATAAGATGATGCTGTATATCATAATACAAGTAGGAGATGAAATAAATAGCCAATGGGCACTGAGAAACCACAGGCTTAAACAGAGATAAACTGAACTTGAAGCACAAAAGAGATATACCTGTTTAGAAAATAGAAGGAAAGATAGATATTATTTCAATATTATCACTACTACAGTAGTTGTTATATTAGTATATCTTTATAGGGGATTTGTTTCTGGAATCAATAACACATCATTAGGTTACACATGTAGGTTAAGTAAGTCATAAGTCAGTAAACATCCAGTACATGGTCTATAGTAAGGTTCGTGTTAGACTGAAGAAACACATTAGCAAAAATTAAAAAAGAGGTTATAACTATAAGACTAACACCACATATGGCAGTTTTGCAGCAATAAGTTTAATTTTCTGTGAACATCAAAATACAGTTGAGGTTCAAAAGGGGATTTTTTTTGTATTCAATGAACACACACAAGTAATAGTAGCAAAATCTCTCAGCTAATCTCAGCAAAAACATAGGATCTATAGGAAATATGTTTAACATAAAACAAATGTTGTAAAGCTTGTTATTACCACATATTAATAGTTCCTGTAGTAATTCCAGTGTAGTTTCAGTTTACAATATATTTAAAGTAATCATAACTAAATGATTTTCAATTGTGTAATCATTTGACTCTCTTGCTACAGACTCAATCAATTCGAAGCAACCATCAGAATTTCCATACTATGAAGTTGAATTGTTTACTGCTCTGAGTGCAAAGTGATCTTCATGTTACGATTAAAAATATTTTTCTTCATCTGAAAATTGTCAAATTTAATTTGTATATTTTCTAAAACCTCCAGAATAAATATCATTTTTTTTATCTTTTATTTTCTCTACCCTAACTCTATATGCAGTTGGTCAATTGGACTGACCTCGTAACCTCCACAAAAAAATAAATAAAGGATGAAATAAATCTAAATGACCCTTTTTTTCTTTCTGAAATGACTGCATTTAATCTAAATAGTTTAAAGCTCATTACAGCTTACAGTTGTTTTTACTTAACTTTGTTTTATTGCCCTTTAACCCTCTCTCCATGGGCATCTTTTTTGTGCATGTCACAAAGTTTTAGCGAGTTACATTCAAATTTTAATCAAACAACTTTCTTTTCATGGTATACCAATAAATATTACATAAAACATAGTTAACAATCCATATCTTAGTAGTATACAAGTTTTAAATTTTATAAGGCAATATTAAAAAAGATCCAAAATTTCCCCTAGTGTGAGAAGTGTGACATTTTCTCTTTAAGCATCCCCTCTTCTCCAATTTATTTACCAACCATCCAAGAAGTACAATATTTAACGTAAACTACTCATTATAATGTTGTCATCACTCAGGCAAAGCATAATTTTCATAGCCTTCAATCTCATTTTGTTACAGAGCCATCAAATACAAAATCAG